AAGTTGATAAATCTCTAACACAACTGATTAAGAAATAAAGAAAGAAGAAACAAATTACAAGTAACAGGGATGAAACAGGGGATATCACTACAGACCCTGCACATACTGAAAGGATAATAAAGGAAAACTATGAACAACTGTACATATAGATTTGACAACTTATATGAGATGAACAAATTCCTCAAAAAACACAAACTGCCATTCAATATTAAATAGTTATAATGGCATATAACTATTAAAGATATGGAATTTGTAATGGAAAACTAAAACTCAAACCAAAACTCTTCAAACAGAAATTTTCAGACCCAAATGGTTTCAATGGAGAGTTTTACCAAACGTTTAAATATGAGTTAACATCATTTCTGTATCATCTTTTCCAGAAAATAGGAGAGAAGACAGTATTTCCTAATTCATTTTATGAAGCTAGAATTACCCTGATTCTAAAACTGGACAAAGATAGTACCAAAAAAGAAAACTATGGAGCAGTGTCCCTTATGAATATTGATGCAGAAATCTTTAACAATATATTGGCAAATAGAATTCAGCAATATACAAAAATAATTATACACCATTTCCTAGTAGAATCTATTTCAGGGATGCAAAGCTGGTTCAATATTAAAAAATCAATCAGTGTATTCTGTCATATTAACAAGATAAAGAAGAAAAATCATATCATATCAATTGATATAGAAGAAACATTGGACAAAATTCAACATTTATTCAGGATAAAAATTCTTAGAAAAATAGTGGTAGAGGGTAACTTTCTCAACTTGTTAAAGAACATCTATGAAAAACCTATAGCTAACATTATACTTACTGGTGAAAGACTGAATATTTTCTGTCAAAGATCAGAAACAAGACAAAGATACCTGCTCTCACCACTCTTAATATAGTGATTGAAGTTCTAACCAGTGCAATAAGGCTAGAAAAAAAGGCATGCAGATCAGAAAAGAAGAAATAAAACTGTCCTTATTTGTAGGTGACATGATTTTCTATGAAGAAAAGGAATCTACCAAAAAAAAAAAAAAGAAAGAAAGAAAGAAAGAAATACCCCAGAACTAATAAATGGGTTCAGTAGGGTAGGAGGTACAAGATCAACATACAAAAATCAATTGTATTTCCATATACTAGCAATGAACATATCGACACTAAAACTAAAAATATTACACTATTTTAAATCATTTAAAAAAATACTGAAGGTGCAAATGTAACAAAACACGTATAGGACTTGTGTGCTAAATAAAATTGCAAAATGCTGATGAGTCAAATCAAAAATTAATGGCATGGAGCAACATATTCTCTTTATGAATTAGAAGATTTGACAAAGTGAAGATGTCAATTCTTCCTAAATTGATGTGCAGGTTTAATGTACTCCCTATTAAAATCCCTCCAAGATGTTTTTGTAGATATAGACAAAATTATTCTAAAATTTATATAGAAAGGCAGAAGAACTAACATAGATAGGACAATTTTGACAATGACAAAAAGCTGGAGGATTCAGTCTATGTGATTTTAAGACTTATTATTTAATAATAGTGACCAATATTGTGTACTATTAGTGGAGGAATAGACGTATAAATCAATGGAACAGAATAGAGAAGCCAGAAATAAATACACATAAATATGTTGAACTTACTTTTGACAAAGGAGGAAAATCAATTTAATGGAGGAAAGACAGCCTTTTCAACAAATAGTGCTGGAGTCATGGGTCATTTGTAGGCAAAAAATAAACCTTGATCTAAGCCTCATACCTTATACAAAAATGAACTCAAAATGGATCATGGTGTTAAATAGAAAATGTAAAACCACAAAGCTTTAAGAAAAAAAAGGAAAATCTTTAGGATTTAGGACTAGGTAAACAGTTCTTAGACTTGGCACTAAAAGCATTATCCATAAAAGGAAAATTTGATAAATTAGAATTAATCAAAGTTAAAATATTTCTTTTTTCTCCATGGAAGAGCCAATTGATAGAATGAATAGGTAAGTTACAGAATGAGAGAAAATATTTAGAAATCACATATCTGACAAAAGACTAGTATCTAGAATATATAAACAATTCTTAAAACTCAATGGTTAAAAAAAATCCAATGAGAAAAAAGCCCATGAAGAGACATTTCACTAAAAAGGACATATAGGTGGAAAATAAACCCATGAAAAGATGTTTAACCTCAGTAGCCATTAGGGAAATGCAAATTATAACCACAATGAGGTATCATTTATGCCCATCAGAGTGGCTAAAATAAAATGACGTCAAATGCTGGTGAGGATGTGGAGAAACTGGATCATTCGTTTACCACTAGTGGAAATGTGAAATGTCACATTCTGTCTCTAGAAAATATTTTGGCAGTTTCTTAAAAACAAATAAACAAAAACAAAGCCAAAAACTAAGCATGCAACAACCATATGATCCAGCAATTATACTCTTGAATATTTATCTCAAGGAAATGAAAACTTAAATTCACATAAAAAAACTTACATGAATGTTTTATAGCAGCTATATTCATAATAGGGGAAAAAAAAACTTTAAACAACCCATATGATTTTAATGGGCTCGTGGTTGAAAAATGGGTCAGTAGATGAACAGGTACATCCACTCCATGTAATACTATTCGGCAATCAGGGAATGAACTATTGAAACCTGCAACAACATGGAGTTTTTCTCCAGAGAATTATGTTGTGTGAAAAAAGCCAATTTTTCAAAGGGTTACAAACTATATAATATCTTTCATATAGCATTCTTGAAATGACAAAATTATAAAAAAGGAGAACAGATTAATGGTTGCCAGGGATTAAGAAGGGGCCAGGGGTGGGAGAGAAGTGAGCATGACTATCATGGGGCAATATGAGAGATCCTTGGGGTGATGGAACTCTTCTGTATCTTGATGATATCAGTATTAGTCTCTTGGTTCTGATACCATAGTATGGTTTTGTGTGATGTTACCATTAGGCAACACTGGGTAAAGGGGTTATCTTTACTTGGTTATCTCTGCATTGGGTTATCTTGGGTTATCTCTGCATTATATCTTAAACTGTACATGTATCTATAATTACCTTAAAGTAAAAAGTTTAATTTAAAAAATTAAACATTTTTGAGTTAGTCAAGAGGAGAGAGTAGAGAAGGGCATTCTAGAGGATGGATAAATGGAACTGCATCTAGGTCTACAAAACTGGATGGAGTGCAGGACATGTGTTGGGGTGGTGGGTGAAATAAGGCTGGAGTGGTCAGGTCAGGCCAAATTACAAAGTTAGAAAGAATTCTTTGTCTAAGGAATTTGAAATTTTTGTTTATTTATTTTTTAAAAAGATTTTATTTATTTATTTGCCAGAGAGAGAGAGGGAGAGTACAAGCAGGGGGAGTGGCAGGCAGAGGGAGAAGCAGGCTCCTTGCTTAGGTGGGACTTGATGCCAGGACCCTGAGATCATGACCTGAGCCGAAGGCAGACGCTTAACCATCTGAGCCACCCAGGTGCCCCAGGAATTTGAAATTTTTAAAACATATGAAGAGCCTTTGAGGAATTTTAAGTAGGAGAGTGACACAATCATATTTTTGTTTTCAGTGATTATTGGAGGATGACAGGAAGTCCAATTAATAGACAGGGGCAGACAGATGAGGGGAGATGTGGGATTAAAGTCTTGGAGGCATTGATGCGGTGTAAGAATAGAGACTGAGAATAAAGAGTAAGAAAAGTTGGGAAGGTGCAGTTTGGAAGTGGATATGAGGATTTTGGTTTAAAAGGTGGAATAGTTCTGGAAATAGCAAAGAACTGGATTTGGAATAGCAGTAGATTGCTGAAATAGAGTGGAGGTCAAGGAACTGTGATGTTAGATAGGTTGTGCACAAGGACATCAGATTCACCTAGAACCTTGAATGATGACAGCACTAGAGAAGAAAGGAAGGTAATGAGATGATCCAGATGCTCAAATCTGTAAGAAATACAAGTAGTGGAAAAATGAAACAAGACAAAACCAGAGAGGGACACAAACCATAAGAGACTCTTAATCTCAGGAAACAAACTGAGGGTTGCTGGAGTGGAGGGGGGTGGGAGGGATGGGGTGGCTGGGTGATGACATTGGGGGGTGGTATGTGCTATGGTGAGTGCTGTGAATTGTGTAAGACTGATGAATCACAGACCTGTACCCCTGAAACAAATAATACATTATATGTTAATAAAAAAAGAAATATATGTAGTAATTAGAAAGTCAATAATAACAATGGCAAGGGAAGGAGTGGGAGCTACAGACAGATGATATAACCCTCAATAGAGGTGTGTTTATACAAAGGTGGAGGGGTAGTAGTCTGAAGGCAGCAGTGTAGAGCAAGAAAAACGTGATGGATATCCCCATCCCCCCCCCGCCCATCATATGGGCAGAAGGACAGTGAACAACCCAGGATCGGAAGTGGAGATAAACAGGTAGAGGGAGTGTTTGGGGGAAAGGTGGAAATTCAGTGGTGGTTGACAAAGAATGAGGATCCCACAGAGTAAGATGAGAAAGGCTGATGGATTTGTCAATAATGGGAGGATGAAAGGTAGATTTGGGGTGAACAGAGAACTGAACTGGGTGGGGGCGGGGAGAACAGAAGAAAGAGCAAATGACCAGAGGAACTTGCACTTTGGGTCCTGGCAAAGGATGACAGTTAGTGACAGGCATGGCTGAATTAACTGGCCTCAAGATGCTGCCTGGATTTCTGCCATCAAATGACTTTTTAGCCTGGCAGAAGCATTAGGCCCTGGTGGTGTCTGAGACAGGATGACATTTGGTGTTTGTGTCCCAGTCAGTAGTTTGTAGCCTTCAGAAAGCAGTTGGTTTCTGCTGTAGTAAAGCCCAGTCCAATGATGGGAAGTCAGTTAGGCCAACATGAGACTAAAAAGAATTACCGGCATTGGTAAAACTCTGGCTTTGGTTATTTTATTTTATTTTTTTTACAAAAGTTTATTCTTAAATACAACAGGATCTAAGACAACACTTCATTCCAGCTCTAGGTAGCAAGAGATGCTATGACAGGGAATCCAGATGTTTAAACAGGAATGGAATTAAGGATCATCATTGCCTTGGGCACAAGGAACAGCTTACTTTTTGCCAGGTTTCTTAATTCCAACTGTGGCCAGGGGGCCCTTCCCCATGGCCTTCGCTTTTAGCTCCTCGAGTTTCTTCTGCTCCTCTTTCTGTTTCTGCTTGAATGCCTTATCTTCCTTGTCCATCTCCTTGGGCTGCTTCAGGGGCTTCTTCTTGCCACCTTTGCGGCCGGACATGGCGCCTGCCGCCCCTTCTCCAGACCCTGCCACCGGAAGTGGAAACTCTGGTTTTGGTAGAGAAGGTTGCTATGGTTAAGTTCAGGCAGGCTTATCTAACATTTGAGGGACCTGGAGCAAAAGGACAAATGGAGGTCCCTGGCCTGTGGTTTTACCCTGTTGTCTTCTCAGCCCTGGCTTTGCTCTGCACCAGGAGGAGTCCTGGGGAATCCCCAGTCTATGCATCCAAGTTTCATCCACTAAATCCTGACAGCTGTCTTGTGGCTGCAATTCAGGCCCAGAAGGGAAGACACTGTTGGCTAGGTTTTTGCTCAGGAGGTTTGTCCTGGGAAATTATCCAGGCAGTCTGAGTACCAAGAACCTCAGAATTCCATGGTTAATGGATGGTATATTCTTCTAAATGTTTGCATATATTGTACAATAATTGCTTTCTTTAAAACATAAACATACCATGGCTATGTTTATCAGTTGGTATGCATAGACATACAATGTATTTTAAATAGCATAATTTTTGCTAAGTAATGGGGTTATTATTTATGTAACTAGCATTAAGATTATTCCTCTTTTTTTTTCACTATTACAGTGTTGGAATTTGCCCACTCATTTCACATATGCTTATTGAACACCTACTGCTTTAAACTATAATGAACTTTGTGTCCTTTTAGCAACTGAAATTTTGGCTTTTATCTGTTACAGCAGCTTAAACTTCCCAAATTAATGCTTTTGGTTTTCTAGGCAGATAATCATATCATCTGGTAAGAGTATTTTAATTTTGTAAGGAACTGCCAAACTGTCTTCTAAAGTGGCTGTACCATTTTGAATTTCCACCGATGACAAATGAGAGTACCTGTTGCTCCACACCTTTACCAGCATTTGGAGTTGTCAGTGTTTTGGATTTTGACCATTCTAATAGGTGTCTGGTGGTATCTCGTTGTTTTCTAGTCCCATTTTGACACTCTATATTCTAAATGAAAGCTGTCTTTGTCTTGAGATTCCTTAAATACTCTAGAATTATGTATTCCACTTTCTCTCCTGCCATATACTGAGAAGCAGAATGAGAATAAGGAAACCTTGGAACAGAAGGAAATGCAATAAATAAGTTTAGGCTTTGGGACAGGACTGTGTGTGTGTGTGTGTGTGTGTGCACATGTGCTGAATAGGCCTTGCACCTCTGCTCATTAATTCAGAAATCCCTCTAACTCTAGAAGACAATTCAAATATATATAGGGAGGTTGGTAGAGTAATTGAGGATCTGTGAGAAAACTTGTGTCACTAGGGCTCGTGAATTCATAAACTAATTTATCATCTTTTTTATTATTTAATGATTAGGAATTACAAGGAGGGTGAAAGTTAATTAAATGAGTTTTTTAGGAAGAGTAAGAATGGGGGGCTGAAGAGAAACCAAGGGTATCTGGTAACTTATTATAGCATCTTGAAAACTGGGTAGGTAGGTTTTGAGACCCTTTTATATGAGAAAATATACTTGAAGCAAAAATCATGCAATATTCAAGAGACTTTAATTTTAGGAAGGATTGTGTGATAGACAGAATGATGGCCTCCCAAAGATATCCATGCCTTAATCTCTAGAACCTGTGAATATATTACCTTCCATGGCAAGAGACTTCGCAGATGTGATTAAATCTTCAGGTGGGGAGATTATTCTGGATTATCTTGTGGGTCCACTGTAATCACAAGGGTCCTTATAAAAGGGAGGCAAGAGGGATGAATCAGACAGAAAATGTGAGGACAAGAGCAGAAGTCAGAGAGGAGAGATGATACACTGCTGGCTTTGAAGCTACAGGAACTTGCCATGAGCCAAGGAATGCAGCTCACCTCCACAAGATGGAAAAGGAAATGGATTCTCCCATAGAGCCTCCAGAAGGAATGCAGCCAGGAAAACCCATTTTAGGCTTCTGACCTCCAGAGCGATAAGTGAATAAATTTGTGTTATTTTAAACCACTAAGTCTGTGGTAATTTGTTACAGCAGTAATGGGCTGTTTTACCCACAACCCTTCTATCACCAAATGTGTGGGTTTTCCACACCAAGCAATTCTCCAATTCTCTGTGGATACCAGTTGGGTGTTCTACAATTTAGTTCATTTCTGACACTAACTACCCAGAGTTAGTACAGACTCCAAAGATTTAGGGCTCAGACTCAAAGACAGCTCCCACTTCAGATGCCCGTCTCAAGTCCCAGCTGCATGTACTGCAGACCAACTAGTTACAGATTAGGGGTTTCCATGACCCCCCACCCCCCTCAGTTTGGTAGTTTGATAGAATGGCTCACAGAACTCAGGAGAGTACTTACTATTACCAGTATATTTTATAGAGGATATTATAAAGGATACAAATGAACAGCCGGGTGAAGAGGTGCATTGGGCAAAGTCTAGAAGGCTCCCCAGCACAGAAGCTTCTGCCCCATGGAAAAGGGGTGCACCACCCTTCCTGCATGTATTCATCAAATCAGAAATTCTCTGAACCTCGTTGTTTAGGGTTTTTAAGGAGGCTCCATTACACAGGCATGATTGCTTAAATCAAAGCTCATTGGTGATTAACTCAATTAGCTGCTCACCTTTCCCTTGAGGTGGGGGAAGGGGCTGAAAGTTCCAACCCTGTAATCACCTGGTTGGTTTCTCTGGCAACCAACCTTCATCCTGAAGCAATATAGTAGCCCACAAAGAGTCACCTCATTAGCATTAATTCAGGTATGGTTGCTGGAGGGCTGATTATGAATAACAAAAGATATTCCTTCTTACCTCTATCACTTAGAAATTCCAAGTGTTTCAGAAACTCCTGTGCCAGGAAGGGAGATGAAGATATGTATTTCTTATAATCACAATATCATAAACAGCATTAGGAAGTAAAAATTGTCTTAAAGTTTGGTTTCAGGCAAAATAAAATAGAAAAATCTATTAGTGTGAGCTCTTGGAAACTTGATAAGTATGTTTTGTTTATTTGCTATTTTCAGTTATTATATGTTGTAATAGAATGGCTCATTGTGACTACCAAACTCAAAATAGGGGAGGAGAGGAAAAAATAAAACAAGATGAAACCAGAGAGAGAGAGAGAAACCATAAGAGACTCTTTATCATAGGAAACAAACTGAGGGTTCCTAGAGGGGAGGTAGGTGGGAGGATGGGGTAACCTGGTGATAGACATTAAGGAGAGCATGTGATATGAGCACTGGGTATTATAAAAGACTGATGAATCACTGACCTCTACCTCTGAAACCATTAATACATTATCTGTTAATTGGATTTAAATAAAAAAATGGAGGAAAAATAGATTGGATTAATGAAAGTAGAGAGATACCAAGACATCATGAAGGGGATCTAGTGTCTGATAGGTCCCTAGGTGTTAGCAAGTTGGTATTGCTGAGACTAGAGCTCAAGCCTCTTCACTGATGAGGACCCTGTTCCTGTTATCGATGTATTGCTTCTCAGCTCCAGATCTACCCTTTGTTGTCCTTCTTGATAGCAGAGATGGATCTTATAAGCATTTCTTTATTTACTTCCTGGCACCATGTTAAATTTTGTCAGTAGAGGGCAAAAAGGAACACTTGCAGGTAGGGGCTTCTCTTCCAGTTGCAGATGTATTTTTCCCTCCTTCTTGTTCCTATGGTGCTTGGCCATCCTGCTGCAGGACACCCCATGGAGATGACCTTCAACAAGTGTCAGTGGTATCAGCTGCAGGCAGCTTCCTGGAAAGCTGCTTTCCAGTGAGCTTATTACCACCCTGGTGGGTGCCTTCCAGGTAAGTTCTGTGGGTACCTCCAACAGCTTCCCCGTGAATTCCACAGCAGCCTCTGATGGCAGCTTCCTAGTGAGTTTCATTGGCATCCAGTCATGGTTCTCTGCCCACCAGCCTTATCCTAGGGCAGCCCAGCAACTTCTCTGCCATCCAGCAGGCTGCAACCACAGCCCTCTAATCAGGTCTGATTTCAAACCGTGGGGAAGGGACCCCTTCCAAGTGTGTTTTTTCCTTGGGTTCTCTCACTGAGACCTTGGGTAATCTTAAAGTTCTCTTTTGGTAGCTAATTTCCTGTAAATAGTTAACAATTATTTATAATAATTATTTATATTAAGCCATCCCTGTTCAAATTTCTGTAGGGTTTCTATCTCCTTTGATATTAGGACATGAAGCCAAGAAAAAAATTCATGTTCACATGGGGCTAAATTCACACTTTATTATCTCTTCTCTTCAGAATCCTTATCACAGTTATGTTTCTTTTGGATATTTTTGTTGTTGTTCTAACATGGATTTTGATATTGCTTACAAACATTTCCCCAGTATATATTGTGTACTTGCAAACTAGTCAGAGTGTCTAAAAGCAGTGCACAATGAGGCACAACACACACACGTACACGTACACGCACTCACTGTGTTAGGAATTGAGACAACAGACCCAACTCTGACCGTACTAGCACAAGAGTATCAGAGACTGTGAGAATGTGAGAGAGAAATTGCTCTGAGCTTTTTTTCTTAGAGGGTTGATTAGGCAAATTTAAGATATTTTCAGCTCAGGAGCACCTACCTGGGTGGCTCAGTCGGCTGAGCGTCCAACTCTTGGTTTCTGCTCAGGCCCTGATCTCTTGGCTCCTGGGATCGAGCCCCCAGATGGGCTCTGCAGTCAGTGGGAGTCTGCTTGGATATTCTCTCCCTCTGCCCCTTCCCCCACTCCTTATCTCTCTCTCTCTCTCAAATAAATAAATAAATCTTTAAAAAAAGGATATTTTCAGCTCAAAGGTTCTATGATATTTGATCTAAATGGTATGAACATTCAAACAGTAAAATGTTAGTGAAACAAAAGGACAGTTTGAAAGCTAGTCACAGATTCCAGGGTTGGAGAGAGACACATGTGACATAGGGAATAAATAACTATTGAGACAGGGAATAACTATTGAGACTGAAAAGTGTTCTGGGCTGGAAGTTGTTCTTGTTGTGCCAAATTCACAGAAATCTAGAAAAATCCTCTCATTACCACCATGGCAGGTAGAAGCCATTCCTAGGCATTCC